CCTACATCTCTGGTCATATGCCCTTATTTTAAAATATGTATTGATCACTGTAGATTAAAAACAAAATATTGTGTTGTTCTATATTTCGTTGATTACTAGAAAACTTGAACATCTTTGCATAGATTTATTGGTCATTAAAAACTTTGTCCTTGTGTGTCGCTAGCTCATTTAACTCTAATCTTTATTGTAAGAACTCTTCATCTGAAGAACATTAACATATTTTCATATACTGAAAGTATTTTTTTCTACTTTGTTATTTACCTTTTTAAACATTTTTTTATTTTTATGAGAAAGAACACTATAATCCTTTCCTTGGCTTCCAGACAGCCAGGATCTCATGCATACCCGTGAGCACAGCTGGTGTGTTCAGATTGACCAAGGATTTGAACCTTGGGCCTCCCGTATGGCTTCATTGTGGTGTCCTCTGCCTGTACTACACTGCCTGGGTCCTTCATTTGTCTCTTTTATACTGTTTGAGATGTAGAAACATAATTTTTATATGTGATTTTAAAAATGTTTCCCCTTTGGAAGTTTACCAAAGAATTTCTTTTCCATTCCATTCTTTTTCTTTTCTTTTCTTTTCTTTTTTTTTTTTTTTTTTGGAGAGATTTTCGCTATAGGGCGCGTGCGCTCGCCAGACAGACAGAGAGAGACAGAGAGACAGAAAGCGAGAAATCACCCCCCGGGGGGATGGTCACGCCGCAATCCCTTCTCCTCCATTCTCCTCTCGGGATCTTGGGCACGCACGTACACGTGCCTGGCGTGAGTTTTAAGCCACCAGGTCTGGGACACAAACCGCAGTCAACTACGTGGGAATCCAGCGACATAGCCATTACGCTAACTGCTGGTTCCTATTCCATTCTTTTTCTAAAGATGATTTTAGTTGTTTTATGTTTTTATTTTACATTTAAATTTTCAATCAATTACTATATTCAGCAGTTTCGATTTCCTCTATTTTGTATTATTCAATGATTATTTATTCCAGCATCATTATTTAGTAATCCTTTCCCCTTTTATCTAAATTCCACATTTATCACATAATAAACTTTCATATATAATGATATCCCTCTGGACTATTATGTTTTCTGACTATACTAATAAGAGACTACTTGGGTCACTTTAGATTCCTAATAAACTTTAATATATGATAGGGAAAGTCATCCTTTAGTACTATTTTTAAATTTTATCAAATTATGGGGTTGGCAGATGGCATAGCATTTACATTGCTAGACTCCCACAGAGTCCCAGACCCAGTGGCTTCAAACTCATGCCAGACACATGTGCATGTGTGCTCAAGATCCCGAGAGGAAAATGGAGGAGAAGGGATTGTGGCATGGCCATTTTCCTTGGGGGCTGATCTTTTACTTTCCCTTTCACTGTTTCTGTCTTTCTCTCTATGGAGAGTACACATGCCCTAAGATAAAAACCTCTTTAGAAAGCAAAGCAAAACAAAACAAGTTTTCTTAACTAAGGCCAGACAGTATCGTAGCAGTAAAACGCTACACGCTGCCTCATATGGAACAGTTCCTGGTTCATACCCTGAGACCTCCCTGAGTACTCTAGACATGCATGTGCCCATTATCAGGACTGGCTGAGACTGGGTGTAGATCTTGGCATCAAGACTTTGGTATGGATGTGGTCTCTGTCTCTCTCTCCCTCTCTGTCTCTCTTGCTCATGGAAGAAATGAATAAGTAAACTAATTTTCAAATGTACTTAACCAATACATTTACCCTTCCAGATGAAATTTAGAAATGTCACTCTGAGGGACAAGCAGATGGTGAAATGGTTACATCACCAGACTCCCACATGGCCAACCATGGTTCAAGTCCCAGACCTGGAAGCTTTAAACTCACACCAGGCATGTGTGCGTGTGGGCCCTAAATCCTGAGAGAATGGAGGAGAAGGGACTGTGGCATGGCCATCCCCTTGGGGCGTGATTTCTCCCTTTCTAGCTCTCTATCTCTCTCTGGCTCTCCAGCAAGTGCATGTGCCCTACAGCAATAACCTCTCCAAAAAAAGAAAAGGAAAAAAATCCCATGTTGAATGTTAGCATTATCATTTAGGTCTTCATTGTTTCTTACTCTTTTAACTTGAACTCCCATCAAGATCATTCTGTATTTTACTGCAGAATAAATCTTACTTGCTTATAGTTCAGCTACAAACATGATAAATAATGATAATGGCATAGTATTTCATTTCACATGCTTTTTTGAAATTTCAAATTGGAGGTTTTTAATGTGATCTTAATCTCGGATTTGTCCTTCAGGGAAAAAAAAACATTGAAGCTGGTACCTTTTAAAAATGCCATTGTCTTTTCAGAGTGTGGAAGGAGAACACCATGAGAAGGCTGTGGAACTACTCAAGGCTGCTAAGGACAGCGTCAAGTTGGTTGTCCGATACACTCCAAAAGTCCTGGAAGAAATGGAGGCTCGCTTTGAAAAGCTGCGGACGGCCCGGCGTCGACAGCAGCAGCAATTGCTAATTCAGCAGCAGCAACAGCAGCAGCAGCAACAAACACAGCAAAACCACATGTCATAGGTGAGAAGTGCCTTATTCTATACGGGAAAAGTTGTATATATACATATGTGTATATATGTGTACATATACACATACACACACATTATTTTAATACATATCATATATATTTTGTTATTTTTAATATAGTTTCTACAAAAGCTGAAAAAAAAAACCCACTAGATTTAATAATCCAAACAATATTGGAGCCAGCAGGAGCCATAATGGTTAAGGTGCTGGACTCCCATGTGGTCAACTGCAGTTTGAGTCCTGACACCAGGCACATGTGCAGATGTACTCAAAATCCTTAGAGGAGAAGAAGAGATTGCAGTGTGGCCATCCCTCCTGGGGGTTATTTCTCACTTTCTGTCTCTCTGTTTCTCTGGCAAGTGCACATACAATATAGCAAAAAAAAAAAAAACTCTTGAAATAATAATTCAAACAATATCAATCAAACAAAAGAAAGTGACCTCAGAAAATATAAACAAGATAGTGTCTTTATGCTGTATGAGGGGACTTCAAAAGTTTTTGGGTACAAGAAAATCTTGAAATCCATGAAGAGTTATTATCTAAAAAACAGTTTTACATGAACTTTCCATCAATGTAAGATAGTTTGAAAAATAACATACTTTGGGA